ATAGGACAACTATGTTTTTTCTTTAGTAAAATACTTGAAATGAGAAATATACCTCTTATCTGCATGCTAATATCTGCATTTCTCTGCTGGGAACTAATTTAAACATTTCATGAGAGATTGACATTTTCAGTGCCTTAAACATCCTTAAAAGCTGCTTTGTTCATTGCAAACCATATTTAGTATGACCTCATAATAATGTAGCACACCTCAAGTGTCATGCCTGTCTTTACTATGCACATTGGAGCTGTGTTCATCTATACTAGACAACTGCACTTCAAGGAAAGATTTTTTTTTTCTTGATAGGCAATTAGCAGTAATTAGGAAGATTCACTTCAGTAAGATGTCAACATGAGATTGTTTAAAAAAGTTGAATGTCAGTGGCTTTAAAAGAGGGTTTTTTTTTCCCTGACACATAGGTATGGCATGTGAAACATGAAATGTTAATTTAACTTTTCTGCTTATTATTCATGCACAATATTATTTTGTCATTCAGATACTACACTGACAGAGTGCAAAGGGTGTTAAAATAGTGCTGCTAGAATAAAAAGAGGATTAATCTACCATTGGCCAATTAGCCAAAGGGTACTTAATGGTCTCTAAAGGCTACTGAAGTCTAACAACTAGCTAAAGCACTGGCAAAAAGTCCTCTATATTACCTTCATTTACTTGACATTTCGTGAAAGAGTCAGCTGCTGATAACTGTATTTGGCTGAAAAAAAAAATTATAACTCAGTGATACAGCAGATTTTACTAAATTTTCAGAAGAATAAATGAGAAATAATTTTAACATTTTAGAACTTTTTCTTGCTTTTGGGGTCTTGGTTTCAATTTAGGGATTGGATATTAAGTCACCAAAGACTTCTGTTTCATATTTTGTCTTCATGTCTGGAATACTAAGTAATCAACCACTTACAGCCCTTGCATGAAAAAACTTTCACTGAGGATTTGGAGTTATTTGCCTTTTCTCTATATGATCGCATTAAGTATGCAGCACAGTTGGTGTTTTAGTCTGGTATATATCTTTTCATATTTTCAGATAGCATTAAACTATCTCTGTTAATTTTAGCTTATTTTTTCTGTGACCCATCATGCAAAGGTAGGTTTTGATTCAAGAGAACAAAACAGGGTCAAGATTAGTGGTATTGACTCAATAAATTTTGCCTTGGATGTTGTAAATAGGTTTATCATTATGTTATAATAACATTTGATAGAGTGTGTAAAATCATAAACACCTAACTCTGTGCCTGCAAATATGTTTTGAAAAGTTCTTTCATAGTTTATGTGTGCCACAAGTACTGCTTATCTTGTATATTTTTCATGATCAAGCTAAAGCTGTGAGAAAATAGCATTCTATTTAAAACCTTCAGATGAGCAGTGTTAGATTTTAAAACAGAACTTGGTAGAGGAGCTGTGCATACAGCAAATGTATTTTATTACCTACTATGGCAAGGTTTCTTAGAGAAAAGAAAAAACAATATGTTGACTTCAGGTTTCGTACAGACATCTCTATGCACATTGTAATGTTCTCATCTGCCAGGATTTTAGGATGGGAAGCTTCATAGCAAATATGTTTTTAAAACATCTGAGGATATTTATATTGGACTACAAAATGAATAGTAAAATAAGGTTATGTCATTGCCTGAAAAGGGTTTCAAGAATACCTGATTTGCATCCTATTTCATAATGTTGCCTAGAAATACATTCTATATAATATATTCTGCAAATATAAATGTATGGGATCATGCACAGCAGTGGCTGTGCAATATCAGCCACCACCAGCAGAAATGTCATTTTCATACATGCCAGATGCAGTAGGAGGGTGACTCTGCTGTAAACTGAGCTCGAAGCTCCTCACAGGGTTGTTGTGATGCTGAGGATTGATGGGCCATCCCAGGAGCTTCCTGCATCAACCCACCGGGCCTTCCACATAGCCGTCTTCCTGAGCAGAGAGCTTATGGTAAAAAGCCTTGCTGAGTCACGGGAAGTTTTACATTGACTACACAGAAACTGAGATTTCATCCCTTATCCCTTTGTGTACAGCAGAACAGAGTGTCATGAGTATACCAGGAGCAAGGAGATTAAGATAGATGGATGTTAAAATATTGAATCTATAAACATCTGTTAAGCCAAAACACTCTGGAGGAGGTGCAGCAGACAAAGGCCGCTACATCGTGGAGGAACAGCGGTAGCCTGCCTTTACCAACATCTGGTCTAGCTGGTATTTAAGATTCTACCTTTCATCCTGGTGACCTCTTCCCCTAGAGAAAATCCTTTCTACTCTGTCACTCAGGATTTGCGTGCATGGTAGCACACACACAAAAAAAACCCTGTGTCTAAAAAAGAAAAAAGAACAAAAGACCTCACCTAAAACTTAGCGAGTGGTGAGGGACAGCAAGGTAATGAACTTGCTTCTTAAGTAAGTAAATGCAAGGGATATCTTTTAGGCATAAACATCTTGCTGGGGAAAGGGGGCTGTTTTTCACTTCCTACATAGATTTATATAGAATTTTCACATACCTTTCCATATATTGCAAATAGAAGAATAATGCAATAGAATTATCAATGCTGTGTCTATTTACACTGTCTCCAGAGCTGTTAAGAGACAGCCTTCTTGCTATCTCTGATTGCAATTGTGTGTCTGTCTTTGTCTGCTTTTGCAAGTTGAGAGGTGTTTGTCATACATCATAATCTACTTTCACTTCACCCCCATAGTTCTGATGCTGTTTCTGAATTTAGGTACATTCCTATTTTAAGTAATTTTTTTCTACCTCCTCACTTAAGTAAATTCTATAACCAAAGTAGCACTGTCCTCTTTGGCATCTATCCCATGAGAGCTCTTTGTTTTTTAATCTATTTGCTATCATTTTGGGGAATGTAGCCACTACAATCATGGTATTTTAGACCAGATGCATTTTGGCGGCAGCAGTACCCTAAGAAACTTCAGAGAGTCATGAGCTATCTTGGGCAGATACGGGGGCATTTCTAATTTTAATCAGAGATATTGATCTAGCTATGATTTTTTTTTTCTTTTCTTTTTATGAATAATTTATTATAGAGACACTGAATCATGAAATTCTGCATGTAGAAATATTGGCTATACTGGACAAATTAACCTAATCCTTATATCTTTCTGTACTACTACTGGTTTTGCTTTTTAAAGTAGCCTTCATTTTGTCTTACTCTGACTGTATTAATTGTGAGAATAATATATCAGATTAAGGAATATCCAATTAGAAAATACATTAACACTATTTATCTCTTGTTCAATAATGACGGCAGATGCAGAAAGCAATGGAAAGATTAACCCCTTTACTAAGAACAGTACTTATCTCAGATAACTATGTAAACTGCCCATTGGCTTTAATAAATGCACTTAAGTGTGAAATGCTGTTAGAGTTTTAACTTTAAATACATTTTCTTGTATCCATGATATTTTTTAAGTGTACAAGTATTTTTTAAGGGTACAAGTGTACTTGTCATTCATAATGGGAATAAACATGACCATAAGTAGTTTTTCTTTTATTTGGATATATACGTGATCTTCAAATGATGGGTATGAAAGTGTATGTGTATGTATATACACACACGTATATAACAGTTTTTTTCTAATAACAGCTATTTAAGTTAAATAATAAAATACTTGGAAATAGGTCACTATCTTTAACTTTCTCTCACCCGTGTTTTTTTGTCTACCAGCATATAATCTGACACACATTTAGTCATTTCGAGCTCTAGTATCTGTTTGGTTTATTAGCAGGATTCTTCACAAAGGAAGGGTTTTTTTCCCTTTGAGAGGTTTCAGTACCATTTTGTGTAATTGTTCCTTATGTTAAACTACCATATTACATTCTTCTTTGGAATAATAAGATAGTACCGTAGTTACCTTCTTAAGGACCAGAGAGTTGTTAGGCCATTAGTGGCTTTTGGCTGACTACAGATTTGTGAAAGTTAACCACTAGCATGAAGATTATTTCTGTTCCCCTTTTTGCAGACCAACATTCAATATTATTTAAATTAAAACAAATATTTTATATAAAAGATTACCTCTATAAGGAGAACTGTGAAATATAGTTACAAAGATTGACTAAGTCTTGTCAGTTGTCAATCAAGTCCAACAAGACTGAGAGTTTGTTTGCATGTTATTTATTTGAACTAAATCCCTAACAAGCCTCGTCTGCTAATTGGACTTAGCATTTATGTTGCTAAATGAGAAGCGTTTTGGCTGCAGTATAGGGTGGTAAGACCTACCCAGTGGAATAAACAACTAACATCTGTTATCCTGTCCTGCTCCAGCTTGGCTTTTACCACTTAAGTACCTCAGCCCTAGAGTCAAGGTTATGGAATATGTGGTTCTCTGGCTATGGTGCATATATGTGAAAGGGAAGAAATAACACAACATGAGTAAAGACCAGCCAACCAGAAGATATTTAGTGCAGCTGGTCCACTTTGCTTTAACCTCTACAAGCCCTACAAATATCAAAACAAAAGCCAAGAGAAGGCAGTATGTTTTATAGCAGTTGTCAACACAGCAATTCAAGTGAGCTTACAGTGGTCACCATTAAAACAGATTTGACATTTAACCACCTTTAATACACACTGGTGTCTCAGACACCTTGGTATTTCTGTATGCTCTGTGTAGAAATAATTGCTGAATCCCAGAGAGGCTCTAGGTAAACAGGTTTCAACAGTAACTACTGTTACCGTTTTGTATGATAATTTTTGCCTGTCATGGTAAAAATAGCAATGTGTACAGTCAAAAGTGAATTAGCTTGCCTGTTAAAAAAAATTGCTTGTTTTTAATGTCAGTTGACTTCTCTTTCCTGCTGGGTTTGATCTTCGCGTGAACTAGAGAATTCAACCAACAGCTATGCAATATAATTACAGATATTATATATACTGTTTCATTCCTCTTGAATTCCAAACCGGAGAAGCATCTCATATGATCAAGCAGGTATACTTTTAGGATGCAATGGTGATTGTTTCTTCTGTTTGTAAAACAGGTGTTGACCTCCAACCTGGCCAAGTGGCAACAGGAGAAGGAAGATTTACAAGGAAAATTGAAGTTGAGAGAACATCTGTCTCAAACTGCTGGCAAGAGTGAAGCCACACCAGCTCCTTCTAAGAACAGTGATTTAGAGATGAAACAGCTGCAGTGCAAACTAAAGGTGACAGAACAAATTATCTAGTGCTGAGGATAATTCACATGAACAGTGTTTCATAACTGGGTCAAGCAGATACACCTATACTCACATATGCATATCATTTATATATCTTAGCCAATGATTAGCAACTTAGGTGTTAGATAACCTTTGATCTTAAGTAGAAATGTAGTCATAAGCAGGAGAATTAGAAGTTACAATTAAAACAATTTTTGTAGATCAAATAGGCCAGACAGGGAGGCTTGCTGGGTTTTCACACAATGATTAAATGCATCTTGTTGGAAAGTGCTGTGAAATTACTTCAATGAGAATTGTGTTGATTGCTTGCTTCCTTTAAGAAGGAGGTAAGAAATAGCTATCTGAGAAAGGGGAGCAAAGAATTCAAGCTGATGGGGTGGTTCATGTAATGTGACAGTGTGAGGTTATCTATATGTCACTACTATTCTTGTCCTCAAAGAGACATCGTTCTTTTGGTATTTGTATTTTTGTAGATTAGCTGGTAGGAAAATACTGACTTGTTGATGATTTCATTGTTCAGTCTCTAGTGATTCTCTTATATGTGGATGATGTAGATGCTGGACTGTGATCGGAGAGCTTTCTCAGCAGGTGGCCTGGCTCAAACATATTAATTCTTCTCTCTTCTCACTGGAGCAAATACATGTGCAACAGAATGTCTTAAAGTTCGTTTTTTCCATCATTTTGTGTTTAATACCTGAGGGAAGAGACAAGGCCAAAATGGTACAGCTTCTTGCTGCTAGAAGAAGTGGCACACTAGCAAGCTGGCTGCCAAAGGATTAACTAGAAGAAAAGGCCATATTACATGAGCGATATAGCTGGCTCTTTCTCTTGAGTACTGGATTAGCTGTGCTAGCGCATGAAGTGTGGGTAGCGCTCAGACCTCTTAGCTGTTGATGGCAATTATGGTATTACGAATCTTGGCTATAGCACACTGGATGCGTAACATCTAAATTCAGGGATTAGTAAAGGTAGGTCACGTTGATAAAGAGATGAGGGCAGCAGGGAGTAGCCATGAAAAGGCACATAATTTGATCTACTTTAATTATGAGAAAGAGATCTTGAAACCATACACGCTGACTTCTTGAGTGTTGGTTTTAGATTTGGGTTTGACTAATCTGCTTCTGTTGCTGGCGAGTGGTAATTTCTGTTAATTAGGGTTGTTCCTTTTTAGATGAGTGTCCTCATTATCCAGAAACCTAGTAGTCAATTGCTCTATTAAAGTAAGAAAAATAAAAAATGAGGACTTTTTTTTTTTTGTGTGTGTGTAATATACTCTAAGAGTAACACTCGTGCTAGAAGGCTACTTTATTGGTCTGCTACGTGTGAACTGCAAAATATATTGCTGAAAAATCAAAGGGTTTTTTGTTTCTGCAGCAGAGGAAACATTTAGCGAGCATATGTAAATCTGATGTCAGAAATACTAATGTAACTTTTAATTACTTCTTAAAGATGTATTACATTTTAAATGTAAAAAATAAACCATATATGCAAAACTACATTTAGAGTAAATGTAGTCTGTGACCCCAAATTTAGATTAGTAGAGTAAATTCACTGGTTGCTGAATTGGGTGAGAGTTTGGACCATAAGGACCTCCAAAGCTACTTAAATCAAGTTGCTGAAATTCTTAGCCTTATTTTCACCTCATATTTTTTTCAAAAATTTAAGTCCTACAAGTCATTTTTAGCAGAAGAAATTGGCAAAATTTGTTAACTATTGTTCCAGGCTATCTAGCATACTTAAAATGGAGATAGAAAGTTACTCTCCTAAATGTCTGAACGTGGAAGCAGCAAAAGCTTTCCTTATAGCTCAAAGTCTCAAAGTACCTGGTTTTGTTGTGGGTTTTTTTTTTTTTTTTTTCACAGCTAGCTTTGCAGCGTTTATTTATGTTGTATGTAATGATGCCTTGTACCTTTGCCGATAGGAAGAACTGTGTTAAGTGTGGGGTGGTAAGTTTGGAAGCAAAATACCATAAGCATATATCTTCGCCTCTGAGCATGTGCAGAGGCCCACCTAAGTAGGCAAGTCTGTATCTTGCGCGTAAACCATGTAACTGGGTGCTGTGCTTCACGCTAATGAAGCTCAAGCTCAACAAACAGGTCTCAGGAAAGTCAAGAATATTCTGCTAGCATACATCATTTTAACAATTTTCTGGTTATACCTCACATTATAATAATAGTAAATAGACTAGACAAGTTATTAAGAACAATATTTTACATCTAACTATGCACACAAGAATATATACTCCCCTTGAGGTGCACAGAGCTATGTACAATTCTCCCATTAATGTTAATAGGCGTTACAAGTCTGCACCGAGCAGAGAAATTCTCCTCAAGTATCCTTGTTTACAGCATGTCTGATCTGTTCGCTTATTGTTTATACATAATAAGTAAAAAGCTTTATTACAGTGGCTGAACCTGCATGCATATAGGCACACATGTATGTCATGCGTGCACTTAACGTGTATGTATCTTTTGGCAACAGCTTTTGGACTTTGGAAATCTCAATGTGCGATGTTTGAGCTGCCATTTTCAGCAATGGCATTCAATGCATATGCTCAGGTTGCTAAGATGGCTACTTAGTTAAATTTCATATTTTTATTTCTGTAGAATGATTCAGTTGTTCTTTATTTAAATCTTGGGTATATTGTTTGTGTGTTTGCATGGAGGAATTGAGGCTTTTTTTTTACTTTCTGCTATACACAATGAGTAAAGGCCATTAAATATATAATTATCCATCACTGGAATTATACATGCCTGAAAGTTAGGATCATACCTTTTTTGTTACTGAAATGTAGCATTTGTGTTAGTGTGGCCAAATGGAAATGTCTTTGTCTTGTGCTTTGAGTTTCAAGGGACACAAAAACAACTGCTCCCATAGATTGTCTTGTATTTCTAAATACACAAGATGAAAGGCATTCTTGGAAATTGTTGCTCTATAGATGTAAGCCCCTTGTGCTGTAGAACTATACCATTCAAGGATGTAGTTCAAATGAAGATCTAATTTACTTTCTCTTTTTTTCTGTTACCTTTTCAGCTGGCCATGCTACGCAAGAGGAAATGCAGTCCTGATAGTTGCACAGGGCTAGCAGGTGTCCTGGGGAACATCTATTAATCGTACATTATTAAAGGAATGGCAAAGTACTGATTTTTATCATATTTTCCAAGGAATGTACTTTTGCTTAAGTGTTGCTAGAAAGCAAGAATGCTCCTTTTGTACCAACTGATGTCTAAGAACATTCATAAAATATGTGGAAGTTACACAGGCAGTTGGTTCAAACAAATTTACTGTTGACTGGGATAATATTCCGTCTGCTTTATTTATATTTTAATATTTTTCAATCTAGAATTCGAATAATGAAATCACTAAGCAGTCGGCCACCATTAAGTCACTAAAAAATGAAGTCCAGGAAAAAGAAGAACGGGTTCGGGAACTACAGGCGAAGTATGTTCATTCTTCTATCCGTTGTGTTTGGTGCCACCCAGTGGCTGCTCTATTATTTTTGCAACATTAACCCTTCTTAAATAGATTTTTAAGAAAATGCTTTATTCTTCTTTTTATTGCAGTCTTGCAGACTATTACGGGTTTTTTTTTAGAAACTGGAGCAATACATGCTAAAATTGCATTTTGTTTAAACCGATGAGTGATTAGCTACAGTAGCTGTATTGCAATAAGAATACCTTAAATCAAAACTCAGGCTCCAGAGTAGACTATTTTATCCTTGATGTAAGTCTAAATGAATTCCTCAGCACTGTTAAACACAGTCTTTCAAATACAGTAATTCTTTGCCTAGGGGCTAAGAGACATGTCAAGGTTCAGATGCTTAAACAAGATTAAATATCCTGTCTTACATTCATAAAAAGTTCAAAAGGACAGTTGTATTTGTTTCTATCTGAACTGATTAAGGTTTACTATGCATTTTGAAATTTACATGTATTGTTGTGAAGTATGCAACTGAGATTTTTATTCTACCTACTTTAAATGGTATAATACTGTTCTGCAATTATATTTCTATATAAACATAACCTGTTAGTGTATCTGTGAATTTTTTGCCGGTCCCAGAGTTTAACTCCTCTAACCATTCTGATTTTTTTTTTTTTATTTGTAGAAATAATGCCGTTTACTTATCTGAAATTAGTTCATTTAAAAACCAGACAAATCTTATAATTGTTAAATTCTGTACATTATGTATTTTCTGTTTCAAAATGAAACTAATTTTTTCCACCATAACACTTAAATTTAAAGTACTTACTAGTTATCATGCTTCCTTTATAAAATAAATACTGTTTTTTCATAAACTGTAATGTATAATCACCAAAATAACATTAATAGTATAAATGTGAAAGAGATGGAAGAAATTTTAAGATGCACATTTTTTCCTGTTTTTTTTAATATGGTATTGACGTGATATCAACAATGTTTTATTCCTGAACATATTACCATCATTCATTTTGCTTTCATTAAAAAAAAAAAAAGCAGAAGTCTGAACATATTCAGGTATTGCTTATGTTTATATTTCAAATATTTATTTGTATCATAATGGTGAAGGCATAAATTTCTTATTGAACAGAGATTACATTGTACGTAAATTTTTTTTTTTGAGAAGTTTCTGAAAAATGCTGATATTATTTCTAGGTTTTTCAGTTTTTAAGAATTATTATCTTACCTGACATATTACCGAGACAGAGATTTTTCATGTATTTCTGTGTGTTACTCAGTTGAATGAAAGGAGACTTCCTCGTTTCACTTTCTTTTAAAAGTAATTTTGCACAAAATAGTTTTTGAATAGTACCTGCTTCAGACATCAAAGAAATCTAATTAATTAAATTTTTGTGTTCAACTTTTTTTTTTCTTTTTTTTGATAATAGCTTAAGAAGAATTATTATGATTTCAGATCAGAAAAGTTGGAGCATAAACCACAGCAAAACCCAAATCACAAATAAATTGAATATTTAGAAACAGATCTGTTTAATAAGAGAGTTGAAACTGGTTGTAATGGTTGAGAATAGGGAAATTGCAAGAATTGCATGAGCTTTTGTTTTAAAAAATATTCTAAAGCTACAGGAATGGTACTTTGTCTACTGCATTTATACTTTTTAGTTGTTTAAAATACTTGCATATTAACAATATTTCCTAACAGTGATATGCGGTGTGACTTCTTCCGTTCCAGGATTTCTCGATTGGAGAGGGACCTTAATATGAAAAGACATTTGATAGAAGACTTAAGGTCTCGTCTAAAAGCAAATCAAGAAAATGAGAAAACCTCTAATGAAACATTAGAAAGCCTTGAGAGAAAGGTATTTCTTTCTTGCTATTGATAATTTTAGGAAAAGCAAAAGCTGGTGGATTTACAGAAGTTATTTCAACACGCTATATATACTAAATCAATATATTGCTTTAAGCAAACAACATACAGTTAATCTAAGGGTGTAATTCCCTCCACTATAATTTGTATGACATCAGTATATGGTGATAGCTTGGATGGATTCAGCATAATTTAATGTATGTTCATAAAAGGTGTAATTAAATATTAAAGTATTCAGAACAGCGAGTTGCAAGGATATGCTGTAAGTAGTGAGATTTAGTTTTATGCACTGTAAGTTCATAAAATACAGTACACCTGAAACAAGTGTCATTTTACATGACATACGCTAATGAACTCCATGCACCTCTCCTGGCTATAGTAGTTACATGCTTTAATATGTTAATCTATTTTCTACTGCAATGTTATGAACAATTCACAGTTCTTAGCTTAATGTAATTCTGTCTGTGTAGGCAGAGTTTAATTTCTACAGCAAATTGTTTTATCCTGCAAAATTCTAGCATGATTTCACAGAAGCTAGGAGAACTTGCATATGTTTTGGCATGTTTCTGTACTATCCAACCAATGGTTTGCACTTCAGCCTTTAATACCAGAAAAACATTATGACATTTGGTTGTCTGTGAGGTCATGCAGCGTATGACCCCAGAATAGAAATAAACAATTTACCAATTTCCTTTTGTTTTGCTAGAATGTGGATGCTTGCTGGATATCACAAGCACTATCTCTGCTTACAGTCATTTAGGACTTTCAGCTCTAGAGAGAGCTACTGTCTTACCCTCTGTGCCAAAAATAAGGTGTTATTAAGAAATCTGCAGCCAGAGAGTGAGAGCATAAGTAAGTAAGGCAGCTAAAGTATGAAATGAGAGAAATACCTGGTTTTGGTTTTAGACGAAAGATTTAGAATGGAATGACGTACTTTGATGCTGTTCTTCGAGTATTTTAAGCGCTGCATTTCTCAGATTCCAGACAATCGAATTCCATACATTAATTTGATTATTCCATGTGGAAAATCAACTTGATAAATTTTACATTATCTTGAGCAGAAGATCAAAGAAATTCCCTGTTACTTGATATTGTCAGGAAAACTTTGTGATTAATACTGTCAGGAGAGCTGAATGATTTTCTAGGAGCATTGGTCTATTTCATTTTAGCCAAAATCCGTGTTTGCATTGTATGGCAAAATGGTAATAATTATCTAAGAGGCTTTACAGACTATTAACTTGTAGACAGTTATCATTTTCTCAGCTGAGTTTTAATTAATGTTTTTAGGTCTGATAGCAGAAATGAGTGGAAGTTGTGGTTTGCTTCCTTTTCCATGCACTGTAACAGTATAATATATATAAACAAACAGCTTGGCAGATGAAGAGTTTTTCTTTACACTTAATACAAATCGACTTTATGTAACAAGATTGTGTGCAAATTGATCTCTACTGGGTCAGCAGCAGAGATTTATTAAAGACTTTAATTTCAGAAAAAGGTACTTTAATCAAATGATTTATATAATACAGGTATGTTTATGCAATATAGGTAAGCTTAGTTTTGATTTGATTTTCATTTTTAAGTTTTATATCTTAATAGTCAATTGCTCTTGACCTTTCATTATTTCAGGTAAAGGCACTGGCTGAAGACTGTTCAAACAAAAAAGCTTCCATTGACTCACTGAAACAAAGACTGAATGTAGTTACAAAGGAGAAGTCTCAGTATGAGCAGATGTATCATAAGGCTAAAGACGAGTTGGAGAAAAAGGTATATTAGAGTTGTGATGGCTCCACCATGGAACTTTTTCATATCTCACTTTCAATTGAAAAGTTGCAAGGTCATCAGCTTAGACTTTCTAAATACAGAAAGGGAAAAAAGAACAAAATAATAGTAATGTGTTCCTCTGTTTTACTTCAGTCTGAAGTTTAGATGCTGAAACATGGACATAATGACTGCAAATGAAGTTCCTTTTTCCCAAGAAATTACATTTTATATGCCACAAGCAGAATGTTCTGTGATGTTAACTATTGTGTGGGAGATGGGTTCATTCATTCGTTTGTGGTCTACTGTACCTGCCTATCACCTTTTATCATATCACTGCTGTTTCTCTGTGGATGTATTTCAGGATGTCAAGCTTAACAATCTAGAGAGCAAAATGATTGAGACTGAATATGCCATGACTGAACTTGAGGCTACTGCATCTCGACAACTACATGGCTTGGCTAAACAGACTGGACAGGCTTTGGAAACTGTACAGAAGAAGCTGCTGCTCACCAATGACAAAGTAGAAGAGTTCATGACATTTGTTAAGGTTTGAGTTTTGACTTTCTTTTGAGTGTTCACCTAAATAAAGGTATTCTTGAGTGAAAACAAAATGTAAAAGATAGAAAGGAGGCTAATCTTTGGTGCATTTCCTGATCTGGAACAATCTTTGAAGGTCCTGCAGTGGCCTGGTGTCAGCTCTGAACTGGTCTAAGCAAGGAGAACTGGTCTAAGCAAGTCAGTGGTTCTAGATCTCTTTCCTAGACTTCTGTAGACTTCTGTAATTTTTATTGGTCATCTTTTTGTATATGGCTGCCAGTGTACTTGTTCCCAAGAACAAGTGCTTAGCTGTATAGCAAATTACTCTGCAGAAAGTTTCCTAACACATTTAAGAAAATAATTCATATCTCTTGATTAGTGTGTATTACCTCATTTTCCACATGTGCTTTTTATTGCAGATATATTAAATAAGGAAGCCTCTCTTGCAAAATGGAAAGCAGTTTTAAAAGCAGTATGTAGGATATTCTTTTCTTATTTTGGTTAAATACTTAACAATCTACAACAGTGCGTCATGCAATAATACTGTGTGGTGTTACTTCGTATGGATCACTTCGTCATACAGCTTCTGTGTGAAGTTCTACAGAATGGACTAATCTGTGTTTTGTAACTTAATACTTGAAATATAAATATAATTTATTTTTCTGAAATATCCACTACGTAACTAAGAATTGTAATGCCTATTCAGTATATATCTATCTTGAATTTAGCATGCATCTACTATATACCTACTTTCAGACAAGGTTATATCTTACTAACCCATGAAACAGATCTGCTTCCCTACTATTCTTGAATTTCTGTAGAGGTGAGCTGCTTTCGGGTATGTTTGAGCAAGTCTGGTAGCATCCAAAGTAAAGAGCAGTGGTATTTTGATGCAGCGTAAAAAGGCAGCATGTATAGTTATCCCTTTCGCTTATAACTTGCCACTGTGGATTGAAGTTTAGTAACTTAAATACTTGTGCATTTTACCTTCTTTCTGTCATCAACAGATAGCAAGTCACTCTAACATGGCGGTTTTCAGATCTCTGGCGCTGGTCTGAAACCGTCCCACGTTCAATTCAGTTGCAGAATTCATATCGACTTCATTATGAAAAAAGACTGAACAATGTTGAATGCACTTTAAAATCCTAAATTCAAAAAATTTATTAGCTAAAATATCTAAGGTGAAAATGAAGATTGACTTTCATGAAAAAATGTGCCCGTTATTTAAAAAAATCAGTTGTTTTATTTTTTTAAGTTTGTCATTAAAATAAAGGCTATCTTCTGTTTGCCTTGTTTTGTAACCTGTAGGGAAGTGGTATAAAACTGCTCACTGTGCCCTGTGATTCAGATGTATCTTGCCTATTCTTGAACAAACTGTTATTTTTCAGGGGGGAAAATGTGCTTTCTTCTAATAGAGAATGCTTCCTCTAAGAAGAAGGAATGAGTGTTCTTTCCACAGCTGCTTCCTTATATTTGGCTAACTATGGGAAAGTCTGAATTAATCTAATATATTGTCTATTTGTTTTAATGAAATACTCCTATGCTGTTGATGACAGACAGATGCAATTCAGTTTCCATTCAGGCTGCTAGAATTTTTGAATGACTTCATTGAATTAACTTCAGCTGCAATTATAGACAAAGGAGATAAACAAGTCTTCGTACTATCAATACTTTATATACTTTAACAATGAAAAGTTTCTCAAAAATTAGAAAATGAAAAAGTAAAAGATCTTCTGTTTTCAAAAGCAGTTGTAATGAGGAAAATCGCCTATTAGCAACTATTATGATACTTCCTTCTTTATTGATTAACATGACTGCTTTTCTGTTAGTTGACATGAATATTCATGGTCGTACTGGATGGGAAAAGAATGTTAATATGTAGTTTCTCTATAAATAATAATAGTATTTAGCTAATAAAGCTAAGTATGTAGTTTCTCCCCTGGATAAAAGAATATGCATGCATATTTCAAGTAATATTTTTGCTGACTACTGTTCCACTACAGAAAGATTTTTTGAAAATAAAAATGCTGTCTCTAAGTCAAATATTGATGAACAGGGAGTTCCTCAGTAGACTGCTTTGTTTAGTTAGGTACTGAATATTTAGAAGGAAAAGTTGTCTGAAATCAGATTTTATTCACAGTATACCACTATAAAAAATATAGTTAAAAATCCTTGGCATTTCAGTGGAATTTTGCAGTATATCAAGTAAATCCTGTTAAAATACCTCTTATGTATCGGATGCTATAACCTCCACTGGAAGGTCGAGGTGGCACAATAAGAAGTAGCAGTACTCCTTCCTGCACCAGCTCTTCCTTTGAAGTCTGGTCTGTCTCATTTCCACTCTCTCCTTCCAGGTAGCTGTCAGTTTTCCCCTGACCTTGGTTCTTACTCAAGTTTCAGTAACTTAGCTAAGTTTTTCTGTGTAGAGATCAAGTTTAATCAAGTTTAAACTGTCTCTTGCTTAACCTGTTTAACATATTTGTATGACCCTCATCTTTGTCTGCTATTCTGATCACTTCACAAGCTGCACTTGTTTTTCCAAGTGCAAGTGTCATCTCCTTATTAATCAACTGAATGCAGTTACTTTTTCTAGCCCTTCCATGGCTTTTATGACATTATAGGGTTTTTTTAACATACAACAATTAAATAATTTCAGCATTGCTAATTAATAGCTCCAGCTGTTAATAGGACAACAGAGGAACTTCAGAGAAGAGAGTGTCGCTCTTCCTGTTTATAGCAGACACTGTTACTTGCCTTTAGAATTATTGACAACTCAGAACCACAGGATCTTGAATCCATTTGGATCAATATACTAAGTTACAAAATCTGGGGGAGAGGTAGAAGTCTGATATATACCACTGGACAAATTAGAGGATACGATGAGTTACTGGTTAAGCACATATTTGTAAAGTACATTGCATTGCTATGGGGAGCCCAGTTTGGGAAACTTATGCAACTAGCTGACTGTAAAATCTAGTAATAGTCTCTAAAAATTGTGGAAGAAATAATTACAAACAAAAGTTGCCATATCCAATATGTTGTAAGTCATTACAGAACTTATTTTTGCAGGAGAGTGATATGGGGATCAGGTGTTAGTCCTAAATTACCAACAGGAACCAACAGGGCACCTAAAGCAGGTTGATTGAGAGTGGCTCATTTCTCCAAAGGTGTTATGAGGAAGATACAGACTAGTTGAAACTATGAATAGGTAATTGTACACTGTGATGGTTTAATAAGTAACCAAAAAACCCACAGTTCTGTAATTAGAGGATAGCTCCTTATGAATACCTATTTCAGCTTGATAGGAAAAAGAATACAATGTTTAGAAATAAAAAAGGCAATATAAAGGAAGTGGAAAATGGATTATAGATAATAACCTGAAAATATGAGCAGCAATAGAGGATGGAGAAGACACTAAAGATATTAAGATGAAATCTGTGGGTAGCAAGGCCAATAACAATAGTGAAGGGGCAGAATTTAAAATTTACTAGTAATAAGATAACTATTACAGGGTAGATACAATCCATTATTAGATAAAACAACTCTAACTGTGTAAAGATAGAAGTCTTGCATGAATATTTCTGGTTTGTATATGGAAGGAAGTAGGCTGATGTTGTATGAAGATGATGAAACATCCCCAGTCTATTAGTAGCCAATGGAAGATTTTAAGCGATTTGTAGAAAGAAGTAGTATTTTTAAACTGAGAACTTTTATAGCTTACAACTTGATAGGGCTTAGGGTTAAGGAATTTTTCTCTTGCTGATTCTTATTTTGAACAAAGTAAGTGTAAGCATACTATAACACTGCCATGAGTCTAAAAGAATGATAATATTGAGTTGATATCCACAAAAGGCAGTCAGGATAGGTATTTTTACTTCAGTTAGTCTGACCTCATTTCTAGCTAAAATAATGAAAATGTGATATGAAATTCAATTATTAAAATACTAAAGCATAGGAGTATAGTTATACTTCTTAGAATGGCTTCATAGAAAATAAATTGCATTGAATAAATCTGATTTCTTTTCGGGAAAGCAGTACAAGATACAGGTTACTATTCATTTTAATATACTGTTTTTTAAGATGTCTGACCTAACACTGAGACATTCAGCTAAAAAATGTGGCCTATGCAATATCAATAATAGTAAAAAAGTAATTAATGAAAAAAAGTAATTAATGAAATTTAGGTGTTTCTAGAGTAAAGATCAGAGCTAAACTTGGTTATTAAACATTTTCACAGAATTAGATATCAAATCCTGATAAAATTTGTCAATGGCATTTGTGAAGATTGATATATAATAATGAAAGTAAGGCCGCAAGTATAATGTAAGCTAGGCCAAATGAAAACATTTTTATTACTATATATATATAGTAATATAATAGCTTATAGTATATAATATATTTATTAGAAGAACTACAGCTACCTTTAAGAGGGACGAGGTGGCTCTGACAATATTTTAGATGCCTTTTATAAAGATACGTGTTTTCAGCCCATCCAGCTTCCATCAGCACCATAAATTCTCTTTGAACCATGCATCCAATTTCTATAGTGTACCATTGTTGAGTATTTTCTATAACATGTATTGCACTATCAGATCCTCAGGTGGATCTTGCCAGTTATGTACAGCACAGCAACCTGAGCAAAATGTTCTTTGTTGTACCTGTGGCAATGGCCACTGGATAAAGTTAAAAACCTGCTATTAGACTCCTTGACTGGACTGTCAAAAATAGGGTACAGCATACTAGTTTGCTATGAAACTGTCCAAAATCTGGAATTCTGTTTTCCTCCATTACTGTATTTCTTTTTTAAGCTCACCTCAACTTTGACCCTATATTGCTGTTACAGACCCTTGTAAGCTCAAGACTCAATAATGTTGTCTCTCCCATTCAACTTGTACTCTCCCATTCAACTTGTACATCAGCAAAACAAATTTTTATAAGTTAATCTGCAGTGATGACATCTGCCTGAACATGAAAATATCAGAGCTTTTCTGACCTTGAGGAAGATGTTTT